TTGTGGAACACTTCTGGCCCACTTCTGGCATGCTAGATGAACGCCAAGGCCTTCAGAAGCTGTTCGCCGCCCTCACCGGCATCTCGCTGCTGCAGAAGGTGCAGCATGCTGGCGCGAGCCCATGTTGTGGGTGAGCTTTCCTGCGGAGGTCTCGTACTCCGAGACCGCGCGCTTCCACAGCAGCAAGGAGCACCCAGTGCCTCGGCCGGTGGAGCCAGGAGTGGTGTGGATTCCATCTGCATGCTTCTTTCTGAGGTCAATGGCCAGGCCATGCACCCTCTGTCCCTTTCTCGGCTAAGAGCATCTCTGAAGTGTGTTCTTCCACGCTGGGCTGGTCCCAAGGATCTGGAACTTGACTCGCTTCCACCCTTTCTGGGCACTGATCGAGATGACCATGGGCATCGTGGCAGCCAGGCACGTGATGCTGGACACCGAGGAGGACAAGAAGAAGGGGACAACGCAGCTTGGGCTAAATGCGCTCGAGGTGTCTTGGTCACTGTGCTTCCATCCTTCTGCCGAGGAACCCGTTGTGGCTCTTCTTGGCGGCCTATGCTTCCCTGGGTCTGCGCCTGACCAAGTTTGATTTCAATGACGGGCTCTCAGACCTGCCATGGAAGCGAGTTCTTTTCTGGGAGAAGGGCAGTCGGAGCATGGGCATGCATGGGCACGGACGGCCCTTGAGGATGCCATCATCCGTGGTGTGCTGTTTGTCCCCATCTTCACAAAGTTCTTGACGCAGATGCACAGGGACGCGCTGTCTCCCAACCCGGCCGCTGTGTCTGCAATTGGGACCTACTGGCCATGGGCACCTGCAGGCCTGCAGGTGTGTTGCACGTGTTGTGGTGATGGCGCTAGGCCGCGATCACTCGATTCTTTGGCTCCAAGCCGATGGCCACGCTGGGCTCCATCGCATTCCCGATGTTCATCCTGCCCTGACCTGAAGAGCTTTCTTGCCATCCCCTTTGGGCTGCAATTAATTCTGTCGCTTGTGAGGCATGGCCCCATCGGCCAGATTTTCTACAAGAAGGCGGAGAACCTTGACAGACAGGCACGCTTGCGGGCTTTCTGACATCTGTGACAGATCCTGGCCAAGCGGATCTGGGGTGCGCCGATGCCAACGGCTTTCTTCCCGCTCCGCACTAAGACAAATCCTGTTTAGCTCCTGAAAAGGCTTGATGATTACCGACCGCCAAGGTTCTACCTCCTGATCTGCCTGGGCTTGAGCCATCTCACCAATGACGCCCTGATTGAAAATTAGAACTCTGTGAGTCTGTGATGACTTGCAATCCTGCAGACAGTATGGCACATGTTTTGCGGAACCATCAGGAGTACTTCGTCAAGAACAAGAAGGTGGCAGCCATCTCGGGCAAGATCGCCCAATTCCTGGGAAACTGGACCGAGGGCATGCTGCGCGATCGTTCCTAGTTTTGAGGCGTTGCTGAAGAGGAACAAGGAGCCAGGCACAAGGCCTCGTTGATGCTCAAGCAATGCAATCTCAACACAGGGCAGGCGGACACAATACCGAGCGGACCTCGTTAAATGTCACCTTGGATATCCCTTTGTCAAGCTCGGGTATTGGCGCCCTGCCCACCTCGAAGTCGTTTGTGTAGACAGGCCGGTGCTGGTCCAAAAGGACGGGGGTGGGATGGTTACTGTAGGTTTGCAACCGACTTACCAGGAGCAAGGAACTTTTCCTGTTTTGGCAAAGCACTGTCCGAATCTGTTGCGGGCTCCTGTGTGTCGATGCCACACTTCCGAGCCCCCTGTGCAAGCAGCACATGTTTCCGACGATCGCCAAGCAGAAA